TCTCATGATTAAAAGCTCCAAAAGCCGGTTAATTAGCCGGATGGAAGACTCAGGATCGCACACCAGATAAAACATTTCCGCATATGACATAAAGTCAAGTCGAGTACACAATAAATCACGCGAATAAAGTTTAAAACAATGTCATTTAAATTGTAAATTAGATTGAAAGAATTAAAAACTTGTAAAATTAGATTCAAGTATATCATTCTGACCGGAGCACATCTATTCTTCACGAAGTTACAAGTAAAAGTGACTTTATTCGGTGTGCGATCCTGAGTCTTCCATCCGGCTAATCAACCGGCTTTTGGAGCTTTTAATCATGAGAACTGGCATCCACGATGGATATTCTCAGTTTCGAACGACGGTGAATGCACGCTGAAGTACTTGAGTGGTATTACACTGAAGATGGCTCAAACGGAGCCGAAACGTTTGTAAGAAGTTATGTATTAGTTAAGTGAATTGTATTATTAACTAAAACAAGCCGTTCACATATGTATTTGCGCATCGTTTACCGCGCCGACTCCTAACAGCTCATTTTTAAACACATTATTTAAATTTAAGGAGTCCTTGTTACTTTACGTCTATTTTTATAATTTTGTACGTTTTTAAAACGTCATTAAACCGTCATAAAAAGATCCAAAATAGTTATAAATTCACGTCTTTTTAACGTCTTAAAATGTCGTCATCGGTCCGTGACAATAGTATTTTCACGTCATTTTAACGTTATTTTATTGGTCATTTTTGGTCATTCTCTGACCAAATTTTGACGTTATTTTGACGTGTGCCTGTTAGCTAGGATATCTATAAAATCTATATAATAAAAAACCCCAAAAAATACATAGTAGAAAAAGGACATAAACAATATAAATATAGTAAATAACATGTGAATTGCGCGCACATATAGATAAAAATAAAAAATATAATAATACGTCGAGATCTGTGGTCATGTGGCACTCTCCAAGATCTGATCTGTAACAACAAAAAAGGAGAAGAGAACATTAAACAAAAATACTAAAAACGTAATGTTTAATGCATATATAAAAGGGTTACTCACTTTAATCCTCAATTCCCTCGCCGAAATACTCCCACAATAGCCTAAGGTAGGCTCTATCGGCCTCGGGGATAACCTCTAGGGATAACTTCAGGCCTGCAGCCTCAGCTCCCTCCGCGAAAACCTTATCCAGGACGCAACCCCCTGCGCCGTCACCTTCGTCGATCGCTCCCTCCGAAAGTTCCTCGGGGGCGAAGGAAAATACTTCTTCCAGCAGGTCGAGGGGGAATTCCGCGATGGGGCGCACGCATCCACCATCCGGTCCACATCAGTGACAGGGTTCCGGAGCTGGATAAATCATCAAGGTAGTCCAACTCAGGCTCAACGCGGTCAAAGCCCCAGGCCTCGCCCTCGGACTTGTCCGAAGATTTAGCACCGGCCGGTATCACTAGCGCGTCGCGGAAAAATCGCGGAAAAACTCGCGAGCCGCCAAATTCTCGAACGGCAGCTCATTCGCGAACGGAACTGCTAAGTCCTCGACGGGCAGCTCGCCCACAAAAATAGCTGTCAAATCCTCGGGGAACAGATACATCGTGACAATCCCGTTCGTCAACATGACTGCAAGCGAACTAAATTCGCAGGTGAAATGGTGCCGCGACAGGCGCGATTAAAATGTGCAGCCTAAGCACGACACCACGAGGACAAGAGCAATTAACTTTAGCGCATTAAATTCTACACACACTTACGCGCACACGTCGACTTTCCGAAATCGGACTCCTCAAGTCCACGAGATAAGCGCCTGGGATTCTCGGTAGATTAAACGAGAAAAGGAGAACCCGATTAGAAATAAATTTTAAAAGGAAAAACGTCCATTACATGATGACCTTATGGGCATGCTCCGTAATGGGACAGTTCCCAGCCAATAAATAGACGCGCCGTATTCCTTGGAGCAATTCACTTCTAGTCCGGGAATTTATTTCGAAAAAACGAAGAGGACGCATCCCGTCAAAGGCCATTGGAAGTTGGTAATAAAAATGGACCCAGCCGATAGCCGATAGGATAAAACAACTACAAGAAGAAATCAATAAAATCGGCACGGCGTGTGAATCCCTGTTAGGCGAGTTAGCAACATGCGTAAATTTCCGCCAGGTCATGGATAAAGAATGCGAGCGTACGCAAGAACTATTTAACAGACTTACCATGGTATACAAGGCGCCTACGGACAAACGACGGGGACTAGTCGACGGACTAGGGTCTATAGCAAAGGCATTATTCGGCACCGTGGACGAAAAGGACGAAAAGCTTATCAACCAGCAACTCGCGCTGCTCCATGATTCAAACGCCGCAATTCGACACACCATGAAGCATCAGCTGAAGATGGTCAATGCTACAATAAACCACGTAGACCGGCTTGAAGAGACAATAAACAAGAACAAAGGAGTCCTAGCCTTTATGAAAAATTACAGGGCAGAACTGTAGTTTACGGCCGCCAAATCGACATGGTTGAACACTTTGTGGTAATAAGCGCGTTGGCCGAAAACATACTGCGCGATACTGCAGACACATTAGATTACTTAACATACCTCAAGGAAGGAATTTTACACCCCAGAGTTACCTCCGTAAGTCAAATATTGACAAGCCTCAAGGAAGCGGCCACGAACCTACCTCAGGGATTATATTTTCCGTTCAGTCTACAGGGAGAAGACTGGATAACTATAGAAAAAATAGCGACTATGACGGCGTTTTGCGACTCAACAAACATTTTTACTATCTTAAGATTTCCGTTAATAGTGTTGCCAGCATACGATGTAATCCACGCGATACTATTGCCGATACACGACCACGGTAAAAGCTTCGCGGCAATACAGGTCGAGAATCCGTGGATAGCAGTAAACGCGGAAACGCATACATACATAGTTTTAAGCAAACGCGAATTACAAAACTGCGCCGTCGTACAGAGCATGTATGCGACCAAAAATATGTTATAAATCGAATTTCAGCGGAATCCGTGTGCGAAATGCAAATGTACACGAAAGCCGAAAAACATAAAAATTGTAAAACTATTTTTGAAACCGCCAGTAGTGTCATGTGGGTAAAGACAAAAAACTCGTGGTTGTATTCCGCCGCGTCAGCAGAAACAATCACGGTGCAATGTCACAGCTACCCAGATACAAAAGAAAGTATTGTTGACACTGGCAAGGTAACACTACGAGAAAATTGTAAACTGATAACGTCGAATGAAATAATTGAGAACCACGAATACAAACTACCGTAATAGAAACTTTTGTACCCAGTGTCAACATTACCCTGATGAGGGATAGTCCGGATATCGCAAATAAAACCGCGAAAGTTACACTAGAAAAGATCGGCAATTCGGAAGAATTAAATCATTTGACTAAGCAAGTGAATAAAATCCACCAAGACTTGGAAAATAACGATAAATTGTTCTATCAACAAAAACAGTTTATTTACCCCATGACCACTAGCGGCACAATAATTTTCATCGCCATAGTATTTATAATATATATAGTGTGTAAGCGAATTAAAAGTAATAAAGTGACTGTTGCTGACAGACACACCGAATTTAGGCAAGAGGACCTCTGGACGCCCAAGTCCAGAAACGCACTAAGTCCTAAAACGCACTAACAGCACACGGTATTAATAAATAAGAATTTTGTGTAAGGTATAATATATAATGTACAGCGTATAAGAAAACTCGGAATTCTCGGTTGAATTCGTTGTGTAATGACTGGATGTTGATCCGAATAATACCCCTTGATAATGTACTCATCGAATCAATTGTATCGCGCATGCACTACGTTAATATTGACCACGTTGAGATTGACCACGGTCCCGATTGACCACCGTCCCGATTGGCCACCGTTCCGATTGGTCACCGTCCCGATTGACCACCGTCCCGATTGACCACCGCCCGATTGACCACCGTCCCGATTGGCCACGGTTCCGATTGACCACGGTCCCGATTGATCACGGTTCCGATTGACCATCGTCTCGACTGACCACTGTCACAACACAAGTTACAACATTTTACGAAACAAGGTCTAGTCCACACCAAAAGATGGTTTGGACTAGGTTAGTTTGAAATGAGATGGGGCTCCCCCGCAGAAGGGGGGGGGGCGTGAACATACTGCCTCCACGCGTGTACTTTGCAACGGAAAGCAAGGTTCCACATGGGTTTACAACTTTTTACGCGAAGCGAAGTCCACTCCACACCAAGAAATGATTTGGATTAGGTTAGTTTTAAACTAGGCGCCCGCGCCGCCTCTCCCATAGGGGGGGAGGGGGGCAGAAGCAGTGATGGTACACGGGCCGCTTTTCACGCGCATGCGCGTCGGTTGAGCCGTTACGCCAATGATGTATATATACACGTGATGTTGTGGGTCGGAAAATTTTATGGCGGGCGACGCGCGAATAACGGACGGAGGAGGTTATACCGGGTAAGGAAGGAGATAAAATTCTCAGGTAAGCATAAATGTTTTAAAATCCGTTTTACAATTACGTAAGCATAGTTGCAAGTAGTTGTAGGTGTAAGAATTTACCAATTACAAGCGAATATAAGAAGAGTATTCGACTGTAATTAGTCAGTTCCTACAACTACAATCACTTACGACTGCGTTTACGTAATTGTAGACCGGCTTTAAATATTTATATAATGAATTTTAACATAAAAGGAGCTATTAAAAAACGTAAAATTAGAGATTTTCAAAATTCATGGCTAGATGAAGATATTTTTAAAGGATGGTTAGCTCCTCATCCTGTAGAGAATAAAGCATTTTGCAATGCATGCAACGCAATCATCAGATGTTGCAAAACAGATTTAGTAAGGCATTCACAAACGGCCAAACATATTGAAAAAGTAAATTTAAATTGTAATGCCACCGATAATGTATTGCATGTAGAAAACACATTGTCATTTAAAGATCAAGTTAAACGCGCAGAAATTAAATTAGCAGCATTTTTTACAGAGCATAACGTAGCATTTCATACCGCGGATCATTTAATACCGTTATTAAAAAATATTTGTACTAATCCGAACATTGTGCAAGCTCTTTCACTGGCCCGAAAAAAGTGCTCTCAAATTGTTAAAAATGTTATTGCTAAGCGAGAAGTCGAAAAAATTATTGAAAACTTAAAAATTTGTAAATTTTCTATTTTAATCGATGAGAGTACTGATATAACAGACAGTAAAGTAATGTGCGTTCTTGTCCGATATGTTTCACCGTTAAATAAAAAAATTAAAACTCAATTGTTAACATTATTACTTTTAGATGCTAAAGATTGTTCTGCGCGTAAAATTTTTGAAACATTTAAAAATTTTTTAGAAGGAAAAGATATCCCAATTAAAAATATTATTGGAATGGCAAGTGATAATGCATCAGTAATGATTGGATGCAATAATTCATTTATGACTCATTTAAAATCAGAAGTACCGGACTTAATAACTTTAAATTGTATATGCCATTCATCCGCACTTATAGCTAGTAAGGCTTGTGCTAAATTACCTTCTTCGTGTGAAAATTTAATTAGAGCAGTTGCTACTTATATTTCGGGCAGTGCAAAGAGATGTGCAAATTTGATTGAGTTTCAAGATTTTTTTGAAGTACAAAGAACTAAAATATTAAAATTGGCAAATACTAGGTGGCTTTGTTTGCATCAATGTGTTGTTCGACTTCTCGAAAATTGGGAAGTTTTAAAAAATTTTTTTATTTTAGAAGTAGCAGAAGATAAGACTAAATCTGCAGAAATTATTTTTGAACAATTAAATGATAATTCTATTAAAGCATATATGCTATTTTTGAAATATTCATTGGATTTTTTAAATGAATTTAATGCTCTGTTTCAGTCTCGTAATATTCTAATTCATAAATTATTCGATTCCAGTCAACAAATAATTCATCAATTTGCTCAAAATTTCATAAATCCTGACGCTTTAAATAATATTTCTATTTTAACTATTAATAATAAAGAAAATATACGAAATGTCGAAAATATATATGTGAGGTCGGAATGTGAAAACTTTCTAGAAACTTTGTCTTCCGAATGCGCGCAGCAAATTAGGTTAAATTGTTTAAATTTTTATATTACAGCAGTAGAAGAAATGTTAAAGCGTTTACCTTATAAAGATTCTTTTTTTCAATCATTAACTTTTTTAGAACCTACAATTGCTTTATATGA